TAATTTTTTGGCTATTTGGCTAAAAAGATAGGTAAAAAAAACTTATATGTTTGGGATGACTTTTTAGCTAATTACGAAAAGATGTGCAAAAAGTAGAGAGAAAAGAGAATCTTTGACTTTTTTGTATAAATTGTTGACTTTTTGACTAATTGACTAAAAAAGTAAGTCCCGAAACGGGGAGTCTTGCTAATGACTATATAGTACTAAAATATTTACAATTTTGATATATATTTAGAAAAATGCATGGGATTCTTTCTTTAGGACTCCACAAGCCTTTTAAATCTCAATTATTGATATACGTGTGAAATCTACTCATATATACGTAGAGTTTATATCATCAATAATTGAGATTCAAAATGGAGTCTTCCAAAAAAAGAGTTTCAATCATTATTGTTATCACAAAATATTTTATGTATTTTTTTTAAATTTTTTTTTACAATTTTAATCAGCTTGTTTGGTTTCGTTTTTCTGAAAACAGTTTTCAGATAATTCTACTTTCTTATTATCCATATTTTTTTTATTTTTAATGATTTTTTTAATATTTTAAACAATTTTTTTTTTAATTTTTAGATATACCTAACATAAATATACCTAAAAAGTAAAAAATTTGTGCAAAAAATCTTTTAAAAATTCACTAAATATCAGAAATACAAAAAAAAAACAAGAATTCAATATATTTTTTCACAAATTTTTTACTTTTTAGATACATCTAAATAAAGTGCATCTAAAAAACTAAAAACAATGTTTAAAATTTTAAAAATATTCACTAAAAATAAAAAAATACGAAAAACAAAAAACTTAATTTCTAAAAAATTTAATCCAAAAAACTTAAACCAAACACACTAATACTTTTCAACAAACAACCAACAGTCTTAAAGGCTGCTTTTAAGATCTTCCTTTCAACCTGGGGTGAATGAAGTTGGATCTGCTACGTTCAAAGACATGATATTTTAATAATTTTTTATTTCTTTTATAAAAATATATATAGAAAAGTAGAATTTAGAATGTAATAATTGATAGCGACTATTGAATTTTTTTACTAAAATATTTAGTCTTCAAAAAAGGCCTTAAGCCTCGTTTGAAAACATATTTTTTTAGTAATTTTTTGACGTTTTTACTAAAATATGATATATAAAAAAAACAGTACCGGTAGAGAGCCCGAAAAGGGCAAAGGCTCGAATGGCTCGAAAGTCTTCAAAAAAGGCCTTAAGCCTCGTTTGAAAACATACTTTTTTAGTAATTTTTTGACGTTTTTATTAAAATATGATATATAAAAAAAAAATATTTAGAATGACTTTTGAATTTTTTATGAAAAGATGTATAAAAAGTAAAAAAGAAAAGTGAATTATTAACTTTTTGGTATATGCTATTGATTTTTTGATTTTTTTTAGTGATTTTTTGACTTTTAAGTTAAAAAGTGATATCGCCAAATGGGACTTTAGGCACCGTTTGGGAAGGTGGATTGGAGGCTTTTTTGGCTATTTTAACTACAAAAGACAAAATAGGCTATTTTAGAAATTCAAAAGTCATTCTAAACATTTTTTATTTAGAATAATGTTTGAGGGCCCGAAATGCTTGGCTCGAATCCGGCTCGAAGCCCAAAACGACGTCGTTTTGGGCTTCGAGCCGGATTCGAGCCAAGCATTTCGGGCCCTCAAACATTATTCTAAATAAAAAATGTTTAGAATGACTTTTGAATTTTTTATAAAAAGATGTATAAAAAGTAAAAAAGAAAAGTGAATTATTAACTTTTTGGTATATGCTATTGATTTTTTTGATTTTTTTTAGTGATTTTTTGACTTTAAGTTAAAAAGTGATATCGCCAAATGGGACTTTAGTTTGTTTTTTAAGGAAAAAAACGTAGAATTAAAAACAAAAACAAAACTTAAGGTACCATTTGTTCTAACGTAAAAAGTTTTTCATTGTTTGGTTAAACAAAAAAGTAAGTAAAATAATTTTTAAGAAAAATATTTTTGCATTATTTTATTAAAAATCATTTACTTTTAAAAATTCTATAAGTCAATTTTTATAAAGTTGACTCTCATTTACTACATTTTAAACACATTTAGTTTTTTTAAATAAATATTTTAACTCACTAAAAAATCATAACTAATATTTTATTGAATCAAAATTTCTCTTTTAGGCAATAAAATATTTTTATTTCAAGTGTCAATCAAATGTTGAAAAAGAAAAAAAAAAATTTCTATATAAAATCAATTTATAAAAAAATAATTTTTGTGTAAAATATTTTACGTCGGAACAAACGGAACCTTAATAAAAAACAATATAAAAAATGTATTTTTAAAATTGTAAAAATTATTTATGATCTCTCAAAAAATAAAATTATATAAATTTTTTTTTATTTCTTTCACCAATTTTTTTTTTTTAAAAAATAAGGACTCGTTTGGGAAATAGGTTGAGACTAGTTTAACTCATTAAAAGATAAAATAAGTTAAAAAATCAATAAGACAAAATGTCACATTCAAACCATAATTATTTCACTTTTTCTGGCACAAAATTTTTAAAAAATCAAAAGTTATTTTAAACGGAATTTTTTTTTGTAACTAGACTTAAAGATTATTTTGAAAAATACTAAATAATATACAATTTTTTATATATAAAAATAATATAACCTAAATAAATTAAAAATTAAAAAACTAACTTATAAATCATTTCCCAAAGAGCGATGCTATAGACCACTAATTTATCATTACTAATCTCACCACTAGTGAAGTGGCAATTGAAAAAAAAAAATTACAAATACATTGTAACAGTGGATAGAATCTACTACCACATTATTAGAGCCACCACTAATTAATGGTCTAAATAAAACATTTTTGTTTCCGTTTATCAAAACAAACATAAAAAAAAAGTCTTCCCAAGGGCCAGAGTTGGGTTAAAGAGGGGCAAAAAGTCGTAAATGTATCCGAAAGACAAGGGTAGTGTTGCTGATGAGAAAAGCCAACACGCACCGGACGCGAATTTATTATGTAAACAACACGTGTTTGAAGTTTGCTAAAAAAACCCAAATCAATCGACAAATAAGCTAATTTTTTTTTTTTTAAAATGTAAAAAAAAAAACAGGAACAATGTAGAATCAACCACTTGGGAAGCTGCGAGGAAAGCGTTTTAAAAGGGCCATATATTCCTCGTGCTTTTTCACACCTCCAAACCAACCAAACCAAAGCGATAAGCCTTACCCTATTACTCAGCACCTATACATATACACACAGTGCTATTACTTCCAGAGAGAGAAAACAAAAACCATAAGGTAGAGAGAGAGAGAGAGAGAGAAGGCAGTTTAAGTTTTTGGTTGATTTCTTTGATTCTCTGATCGATTTTGAGTTTGTTTGCTGGAAACTATGTCGAGTTCGTCTGGTTCTGCTGATTCCGGGAGGTTTTCCGGCCATAGACACTCCTCCAGAGTGCCCGAGAAGTCGGCGTCGTCGAGCTTCTCTCAGACGTGTAGTTTGTTGAGCCAGTACCTGAAGGAGAAGAAAGGCACATTCGGAGATCTCAGTCTCGGTACTGTTCGATATTCTCATCTCAATTTCATTCTCTCTCTCTCTCTCTCTCTCTATCAATTTCAATTGTTTTTGCAACTTCAATTGTCAATTGCTTTGATTTTTATTTTTTATATAAAAAAAAAGTAAAAATTTGATAGAACATAACATGTGTGATGTTGCCTTGTTAATTCTCAGATCTACAATTCGAGTTTTGTTGAGATTTTCTTTCGAATTTGATGTTTAATTGTTACATTACAACACGACCTTGATTATCTCTATTTCCTCCTTCAAAAACACTCTCAAAGTTGAATTTTTGTACATATCAGAATGAAAACATATTCCAATTTGCTCTCTCTCTCAACCTCTTAATTTGCAACTACAATTAAAATTTGTTTTGATGCTTTTTTTTTTTTTTAAAAAAAAAAAGTTATACAGAGAGTTTTGTTGAGATTTTCTTCTGAATTGACGCTAATTGTTGATTTCCTCCTTGAAACACTCTCAAAGTTGAAATTTTTGGCACCTCAGATTGAAAACGTTTCAAATTTGCTCTCTCTCTCTCTCTCAACCTCTTAATTTTACAAATAAAGGTTGTTTTGATTTGATTTTTTTTATTTTATTTTAAAAAAATAGATAGAAATAGAGTTTAAAAGAGCACATGTTTGATTTTGCCTCTCCTCAAATCTTAGATCCAAAATATGAGTATTGTTGATATAATGTTAATTGTTCCACATTTATACAACACGGACCTTGATTATCTCCGTCCTTGAAACACGGTTGAAGTTGGAAAATTTTCCCGTATATCAAATTCAAAACGTTTCTAATTTGTTCCATCTCCCAATTCTGTTACAGAACCGGTATCAGAGCTCAGATCTGCTCTCACCTACATGTTCACCTCACCTCAAGCTGCACACACAACGTGCTTGCTTGTTTGTTCAATTGGAAAACATATCTCATGATGTATCTTTTCTTGATTGGAAATATTGCAGGCATGCCAACCGCAACGACAACTATGAATTTGTTCCCCGTTGCTATGAAATCGAGTGAGGTTTCCCGAAATGGAACTCCGGTGACGAGAAACCTCACGTCTATGGACTTATTTCCACAGCAGTCTGGTTTTGGTTCCAACATTTCCGTGGAAGAGTCCCTCAACAAGGTTGATTCGAGGTGGGTTATATTGCTTTTTCTCTTCCCTGAATTACTTACCCTAGTTCAATTTGTCAAAAATAGTGACATAGATATGTTAAATTGAGTAAATTTCTATGAGGGCATCGCTCTGGTAGATCAACAAGAGCAGTAGAGTCAAACCGGCCCACCTTGGTCAGTGAGGTCGGTCCCATTATTCTCTTTTGAGTGGCCTTTTTGATTGAAAACACCCATGCAATATTCCAGATTATTGAATAATTTTTCGGTATTAATGGGGTGGTTTTCGTTGTTGAACCATTAATATTATGTGTTGAATAAAAAAACGAATCACTAATATTATGCACCTGGAAAATACCTAGAGCGCTTTCGCATTGGCATCTTGGAGTTTCATATGCATTCACATAGCTGACAATTAAATTATTATGTTTCATGTGCAGTGCTATAAACAAGTCAGAGCCAGAAACTGCACAAATGACCATATTCTATGCCGGGCAAGTGATTGTGTTTAATGATTTCCCGGCTGATAAGGCAAAGGAAATCATGCTCTTAGCTAGCAAGGGAAGTTCCCATCACAACCCCGGCACGCTTGCTTCAACACCGGTCCAAAAACCAATCGAACCCACTAATTTGATTCCCACTAGCTCAGCGAGTGCTATTGTCCCTAATTCAGGCAACAATACGATCTCAATCGAACCCATTAGTTTGATTCCCACTACCTCGAGTGTTGCTGCCCCTAATTTTAGCAACAATATGATTCAAGAACGTGTCCAGGTCCAACGGGCTTCTCAACCCATTGCTACCGGTAATCCACTGTCCTTACTAGGTCTCTTCACGAAGATCTCAATCTGTTACAAATACTTTTAGAAATCTTCTCATGTTGTTTAAATTTGCTATTGCAGATCTACCAATTGCTAGAAAAGCGTCGCTCACCCGGTTCTTGGAGAAGAGAAAAGATAGGTAGGCATTGTGTAAGCAATTGAGGCAAAGGATTGTCTATTCTACTAAAATGTTTTGCTAGTTTTTCTTTTGTTGATTAGTAAAATGTTTTGCTAGTTGGTTGTGTAAATTTAGCTGCAGAGATTCTTATAGCTGAAATGAGCCGATTTTTTTAAAAAATGTGACATTTAAAAAAAAAAAAAAAAGGGTTGTGTTTGTGGGTTTGATTTGGTTTGAATTCAATATATATTTACACAAACAGAGACCATTGATTGATAATATTATACATTTCTGATCAAGGAGATTGATCTTGATGATTCTGTTATGGCATTCTTACAGGATCACATCAAGAGCACCATACCAAATAAGCAGCTCAACTTCTCCTCCCAAGCCGACTGAAAGCAAGTCATGGCTCGGCTTGGCAGCTCAATCTCCGGTGCAGTTTGAGCACCATTTGTAGTCATTTTGGCAGCATCAGTTATATTCAGCAGTGTTATGTTGTATTTTTTACTATATGTTTCGGCTTATTTTGGTTATTGAATCTACAAAGCCAGCCATTAGATCTAACTGTTTCGATCTTACTTTTAGTTTGTGTAATTAGATTAATGGGAAAGTCTTCATTATATATTATCTTTATTGATTAGATGATTATTAGCAAATGTGGGATTCTTTGTTTGAATGGGATTAAGAACGTTTAGCAGTCAAGGCACATGATGATGAATTCAACATTTTGTTGTTTGGCTTATGTAAATGTGTGTTTTTTGTAGGAGATGTGGTTTGACTTGCAAGTGTAGTATATATTTCTATGTTGGTTAGTTGGCATTCATGTTTCCATTTTTTGGTTCAAGATAGTTGAAGTCATGTTTTTAAGTTCAATGAACTATTGTTTTCATGTTTTCAAAGGACCTGAATTGCCTGCTCATTACCACCCATGAGTTTTTCAGAGTTGAATCCTACGAAGGCTAAATTTTCTAAACCTTGGGTCACTGGAAGGTTGTTTGGTTTTTTATGTTAGAACTTTTGAATTAGTCGAGGGCTAAATTTTCTAAACCTTGGGTCACTGGAAGGTTGTTTGGTTTTTTATGTTAGAACTTTTGAATTAGTCGAGGTGTACGTAAGTTGATCTGGATATCTAATTAAATAAATAAAAATCTTTGTTTGTTTAGATCATGAGATGAGAGAATAAAAAAAATGAGGTCTTTTATCTACGTTAATTTTTTTTTTTAAAATAATTATATTTTTTTACTGTTATGTTTGGATTAAAAAAAAAAAAAGTTTGAATATAGAGATACTAGTGAAATATTTTTTACTTCAATATTTTAATTAATAATGGCCAATACTAGTGTTATGAAAAATAATCAAACACAATTAATCAATTTGCTTTTCACTAGTTTCAATTTTCAATATGCTTTTCACCCGTCATAGCTTGTTCCGATTTTGAAAAAAATTACATTAAAACGTTACGAACCAATCAAAATATTATAAAATAATATTTATCATCTCCGAAGACAAATCTAATGTAGTCGTGTGAATCTAATGTAGTCGTGTGAATATGATTATCAAATCAATTTAATTTTTTTTGAGGAATGTTTTATACACAAAAGATTACAAAATAAATCACTGAAGCGAAACCGCGGATGTGCCTCACAGACTAATTAGTATGGCTCAATCCCTCTTTGTTCATTTATTCAATGTAGAATTTTACAAGTTTTACTTTTTTTTTTCTTCCATTTTCCTTCCCTTCATAAATTTTTCTTTAAATTCTTGATCCAAAACACATTCTTAAAATTTCTTATAAATCCCTCATTTATAGAAAAATTGATCTGTAATATATGATCAATTTCAATTCTTCAACTAACAAAATCAAATAATTTGATTTTATGTTAAATTAATCAATTTTTCTATTATATACGTCTCTGCCAACTAAATTTTTTTAAACATGGGCATTTGAAGATTGAAAGATGGAAGAAAATGACTATCTTTTTTATAGAAAATAAAAGTAGTACATAGAAATAAAACACAGAGAATAAAGTTCATGGGATGAATAATATTATACTATATATCCTAGGTTATAAGTACTCTGTACAGGCCGACCACGACAAGTGGAGTGTAAAATGGATCAACACCCCCAAAAAGTAAAAGAAAGTAATATATGGTTTTAAATTATTCTCACGTTGTTCACGTCTTTAGACTTTAGTGCTTCATTATTATTATTATTAAAATTCGTCCATATAAAGAAATGACCATTGATAGTAATGTGTCGGATGGAGTAGGTATTACTTATTTTATTGTTAATCTCACATGCTATGTTTGAATTGTGGTAGGCTAGGGTTCACTTTCATTTGACCCAGTCTTCCTTTGATTTTTATTTTTTATTTTGAATGCAATTTGTATCAAGATTTTGAGAAAAAGTAATCATCAACTCCACCCTAAAACAAATCGAATTCTCTTTAATTGAATTAAACATTTAATTCAACGGTTGATACATAAACAAATAGTTAAGGGTTGTTAAACAGATAAGTTATCCTATTTCAATAAGTGTGTGGGTGATTTTTCGACCACACTGCCCGCTTAGTAACCAGTTAGAGAGCACTGGCAGAATAGATGGTACCTGACTGATCTGCAACAGAAATATAAGAATCCCGCCGTGGTTTCGACCACCCAGGGGCACTCCGACGATCAAGTCAATATATCTCTAAAAAATAAATCAAATACTAAACTCACAAGCTTGAGTATCAAAAGCATACCTTAGACCCATGGGGGTGCCTCTCTTTTATAGCCAATACAATCCTAGTCCCAATAGGAGCCTGGCCCTAATGGACTTAGGATTACTGCTAATCTGGGACTCCCAGTGGGATTAGGATAAACTCTCTAAGAGTCTTATCTTTACCCAAACTGAAGTCTTCTTTCATTCTAGGACTCTTGTCCCTTATCCACTTATTTCGGATTCCGATATCTTCGGAGATAACCTCGGCCTTGTCGAGATCACCTCGACGTCACGACTAGGACACGTGGCACCTCGGCTGACACGTCGGCGTCACCTTGCCACGTGTTGCTACTCAGAAAATATATCCCCACAATAAGTAAGTGATGACTTGTGTTCGGTGAATTTAGTGAGTAAGTATTTATGGAAATGATGTAGTTACTAACCACCTTTATTTCTAAAATTTGTTTGCCAAGATTTTGTTGAAATTGAAGTCAAGTTATGACTCAAACTCGTCTCGAGAGAACACTTGCAAATCTTTCATATGTGATATTCTCGTTTTGTCAAGCTCGTTTATTGCTCTTGTCTGGTTTCTTGGCGAGTAAGGACTATTTTGGTCACATCCAAAGAAAGTTGCTAATGCTGGTTACCCCCTTCTATTATTTTTATTAAGCAAATAAATTACTTAAATTTGACTCATTACGTAAATAAATGAAATGTGAGTAATTTTTAAACTCATGATTTTTCAAATAAAAACTTGCATGACTTTTTGTTTGGCTCAATTCACTTCTATGTATAAAATGTCAAATACTTAATCTTGATTCAATTAAAACTAATTTAAAATTAACTTGAACATTAAACAATTTAACCAAACTTAGACAAAGAATTTTTGTGTTTCTCTCTCTATAAATTGTTGGGTATACCTCCTTATTGGAGTGTGGGACCCAATTGATTTGTTAAAGAATTTTAATTTGACTTGATTTAGGTATAATATATTTTTATATATTATATTTGAGGAGATCCAATCCAATTTAGAAACAATTAGGGTTTGATTACAAAACCCTACATTCACAATATAATTTTCTTGTTGGTGTATTGTTTTTCCCCAAGAAAAAAGTGTGGCTGCTATAATGTTTTTGGGGTTCGTGCCAATTAATCCATTTTTGGTGATCTTTTGGTTCGGAGTCACAGTGCTTGAATTCAAGACAGTGGATTGGTTTCGGCAGCCATTGTGCGTTTGATTTAGGTTGTTATTTTGGGTTTTCTACAACTCTAGTCTGAAGATTTTGGTTCATCTATTTGGTGAGGTCTTTCCTCTTATTTATTTCTGATTATTTGAAATTCACCTAAAGGTGGTTTTGTGAAACCATTAGTGTCTCGTTTGTAATCGTTTGGAACTTATTTGGTTAATAGTGGAATCGGATTTCGATCCCGTGGACGTACCTTACATTGAGGGAACAACGTAAAAATTCTTGTGTTGCTCTTGATTTAATTTTTCCGCATTAGTTTTTATTCCCATTGATTGATTTATTTGTGGGAAATCACCATATTTTCCCTAACAACTAGTATCAGAGCATACGGTTTATTTGAGTTTAATTATTTGTGTAAATCTATGGAGGGGAATGTGGGTCGTATGTCTAGCTTCAATGGAAGCAATTGGGTAACTTGGAAAACTAAAATGGAGGACCTATTATTTTGTAAAGATTTGTATGGACCCATTGAGTGGCAAACCAGAGAGTATGAAAGATGATGAATGGAAGAGGCTTAATCGAAAAGCTGTTGGTGTTATCCGTCAATGTATTGCTGACAGTGTGTTTCATCATGTTGCTACTGAAACTTCGGCACATGATTTATGGAAAAAATTAGAAAGTCTTTATGATAGAAAATCAGCCACAAATAAAGCTTTTTGTTTCAAAAGTTGGTTAATTTAAAATATAAAGATGACAGCTCTATTCCGGAACATTTGAATGAAATTAAAAGTATTGTTAACCAACTTGCATCTATGAAAGTTGTTTTTGATGATGAGTTGCAGGCTTTGATGCTACTTAGTTCTTTGTCCAAAAGTTGGGAGACTTTGGTTGTGACGGTTAGTAATTCGGCACCTGATGGAGTTGTCACAATGGGCCAAGTCACTAGTAGCCTGTTGAATGAAGAAACTAGAAGAAAATCAGCGGGTTCCTCTCATTCAGAAGCATTCGTTGTGAGAGGCCGAAGCAAAATAAGGGGGAGGAGTAAGACTCCTCATGGTCGTGATCAAAGCCGTGACAAATCGAAAGATGGTTCTTTTTCAAAGAAAAACATTGAGTGCCATTATTGCCATGAGAAAGGGCACATGAAGCGGCAATGCCGAAAGCTCAAGAATAAGGAGAAAAGGCGTGACAAAAGTGTGGACAAGAACCAAGAAGACACAACGGCAGTTACTACCAATTGTGATATCATGGTCGTTTGTGAAGATGATTGTATCAATTTTGTGGGCCAAGAGAGCAATTGGGTGATTGATTCCGGTGCTTCTTTTCATGTGACTTCTCGAGTTGATTTCTTCACTACCTACACCGAAGGAGATTATGGTTTTGTTCGAATGGGTAATGAAGGTTTGTCCAAGATTATTGGCATGGGTGATGTTTGGTTGGAAACAAATTTGGGCTGCAAGTTGTTGCTTAAAGATGTGAGGCATGTTCCCGACATTCGCCTCAATTTGATCTCTACCGGGAAGCTAGATGATAAAGGCTTCAACAACAAATTTGGTGATGGAATATGGAAGCTCACAAAGGGTTCTTTGGTGGTGGCTAAGTGTAAGAAGACTCATACACTTTATTCGATGCAAGGAAAAATTTGTAAAGGTATTGTCAATACACTTGAAAATGATACTTCTACCGAATTGTGGCACAAGCGGCTTGGCCATATGAGTGAAAAGGGGCTGCAAGTTTTGTTCAAGAAAGACCTTCTACCCGGTTTGAAAGGTACACGTCTCAAAACTTGTGTTCATTTTGGCGGGTAAATAACATAGAGTTTCTTTTCATAAAAATGTTGCTTCTAGAAAAGAAAATGTTTTGGAGTTGATT